ACTGTTGAGTACTAATTAACAGTGCTGTTCCTAAAGTGGCGCTGGGAAACAGTAACAAAGCCTACACAGAACACGAGGCTAATAACCGTAGCAGTTGATGCCGATGACACAAAAAAAATAGTATTAACAACAATAATAATAATAGGGTTAGTTGGGGTAAATGTAAACGCATCAAAAAATATGGAAATACAAGTATTATGATTTGAAAAACGTGTTTCTGCATTTTCAAGATTATTTGGAGACAGTGCATTTATCGATGCCTGTTAGTTTGGTAGTGTGGCGACATTTTTTTCTTCTGAATCCGTGTTTTTTGAGGTATTTTGTAAGGTGCAATAAGAGTTAGGCTTAGTTTAAACTTATGTTTTAAGAATAAATAACTGAAAAATAACATTATTTTACAGGTGTTTACATTTACCCCAAGGTTCTGTGCTTATGGGGGAAATGTAAACAATATTTGGAAGTTAATTTCACTATAAAAACATAACATTTAACTTATAATAAAGACATTCCAAAAACTCTCGGCCATTAACTTCGTTTCAAGTTTCCGAGAAGCCTCAGGCATCAAAATCTCCAAGTAATATTATCCTTTCCTGTATTTTTATCCCTCATAAAGTCGTGCCCTTAAAACCTGTTAATATACAAGAAAATTTGGTAATCCCCAGATTAAAACAACATACATATGTGGAAGTTTTGACCTCAAATGAAGTGCTGAAATGACTAAAAGAAGCAGAGGAGAAAAAGAAAATCAAACCTGAAAAATGTAAAAAACAGGAAACAATGACGACAATGACACGCCTCCGCATGGTTGGAATAGAACCTGATGTAGGATCTGGTGGGGCGATACGTCGCGTTTGGCAGGAGGCGCTCGATACGCTCTCACTGCTTTAAGCGAAAATGGACTTAATCTCACCGATTTATATCTTTCATAAACCATATAAAGTTATAATAGAACAAATGGAATAGTCAGAAGTGGCAGGTACAAGTCATATTTACGCTAACGGTTTTGAAACAAAAGATGGATGTGGAATATACTCCAGATCCTTAAATCTTAACATAAAATGGGCTCTAATAGTGCCAGTGCAGTTCAAACAGAGCTAACGGGGATTCTCATAGCAGTAAAAGAAACAACCAGAAACAATATTATTGGAAGGAACATGCTCATCTATACAGATAGCAGACAAGCACTACTCACTCTGAACAGACCACGACTTTACTCAGGGTTAGTACTATAATGTCACGAAGCTTTGGCCGAAGTATCCATCAACAATGTGGTCACCTTAAGATGGATCAAAGGTAACGCCACATCGAAAGGGGATATGCCGATTGATCTGGCAATTCTGGTTTCAGCGAAAAATATCATAGACATCGAATGGAAAGCTAACAGAGCTATCAACATCATAACCAGTTGGATGAAAAATAAAAGCCTTAAACTCGCACTACACAAAACAGAAATTGTGATGTTAGTAAGTGGTAGAAAAAAGAAATCCATCTCAATGAAAGTTGAAGATGTTCAATTACAAAGCCAGGAAATGTACAAATACATTGGCGTGTATTTTGATAGAAATGTGAGAATGAGACAACATATCCGTATGATTTCTGAAAAGGCTACGAAAGCTTTAGCAAATATTAGCTGCATAATGCCGAATCTAGGAGGAACAAGGGAAAACAACAGAAGATTATTATGTTCGGTGATACAGTCTATAATTCTATACGCTGCAAGTATATGGGAAAGAGCAATTGAGAAGAAAACTTATAGAGACATCCTACTGAGAGTACAACGAAAAAGGACTATAAGAATAACTAGTGCGTACCGGACAATATCGACAAGTGCGCTACTTCTAATTGAGAGGATGCCGCCGATAAATCTACTTGTGGAAGAACGAATTATGATTGAAGCAGGTAATGACCCAAGACCAGCGCTCGAAATAAAATCATAGAAAAATGGCAAGCAACATGGGCAATAGACGACGGAAAGCAAGCTGGACTAAGAGATTGGTGCCACATATAAGACCATGGATGACTAGGAAACACGGAGAAGTAAACTATTTTCTTACTGAAATACTTACAGGACACGGCGCCTTTCAGGTCTATTTATATAGATTCGGACTAAGTGATACAGCTGACTGTATCTATTCTGGTATGATGAATACAGTAGAACATACGTTCTTCGAATGCCAAAGATGGGAAGACGAAAGAAGTCAGCTAGAAATATTTCCAGGGAGGATAAGACCAGAAACCCTCGTAAGTAGAATGATGGAATCGAAGGAAACATGGGAACTTGTAAATAACACAGCCATTATTATTATGTCCATTAAAAGAAAAGACATGAACGACATTATGAGATGAGCCCAATACATCAAATAACAAAGCGTCTTCTCAAAGTAATGCCAGCAAGTAGTTCCAAGAAGACCCACAATGCTTTAAGGGTGGTTTTAGTGGGTATACCGGCCTTTCACCCTCCAGATGAGAGTCCCACACTACCAGGTACGGGCAGAACCATATGCCTGGTATCCGTAATGAATTCCCACCCAACCAGAAAAAAAACATCTTGCTGATTCACTAGCCAAGAAAGCAGCCAACCAAATACTTTTTGGACCTGTCCCTTCTATTGGCCTGACAAAATCGGTAATGACATACCTAATTAAAGAATATTCCATTGTGAAATTCAAGGAAAGATGGGATGAAACAAGAAACTGTAGAGTTGCCAGGGAGCTCCTAAGTTATCCTGACAACACTGCAGCAAACAAATACTTGGCTATGACTAGACAGAATGTTACGTTTCAATGTTATGTTTTAAAACATATTTTGCACCAGATGATACGTTTACTTTTTAACCCTTACCTGGGTCTCATTGTAAAAATCCTTATAATAAGAATTCTTACAAGCCTCAGGCCTAGCTCAGATCAAAATAGGTCAGTGGGATTCGTTTAGAATTTACCTTCAAGTCAATGACAAGGTCTTTAATTAAAAAGACTTAAAAGAGTTCAATTAAATTAATTTGGGCGCCATACCTTTAGATGTACAATAAAAGTAAATTTGCCATTAACTTGTCAGTTGAAAGTAAGGAAAATAAAAGAACTTAAATTTCAAAACAATGAATCGTTAATTTAAACTAAATTAGTTAATGAGTGATATTAACAAATAAGAAAGAAAAATTAAATTTATTGATTTTAACAAATTTTACGGTTTACGTTATTTGACTAGATAATACGTTTAAAATTTAAAATTGACTAGTATAACTTTGATTCAAAAATTGTGTGTGTGGTCCTGGCAGACACTTATCTTGTGTGTTTCCGGATTTCAACGGTCGAACTGGTCCGTGTTGCTCTCTTAACTGTAGTTCAGCCTACGATGACTTTAGACATATTCTGCAGACATTTCAAGTTTACAACAATAATAGAGATTTGCAATAGTATTTAAATTAAAATACATGAAGAATGGAAAGATTTTTTTAAATAACAGAAAAAAAAATATAAAATTAATGGCAGCCATTTTGTACATTGCATGGAACTTATATTACGCGGAAATCTCGCTATTAATGAATAAAATAACTCAAAGATAATTTCACCAGGATATACACACATAATAAAATTAATGTCTACCATTCATTATTAAAAAAAAAATGATTCTGTTACCTTAGTTAGTTCGGAAACACTTAACAAAGCACTAAACAACTGATTCGTTTGGCTGCAGAATTGAAAAAGAAATAAGAAACCGACTGAATGTGTGAAATGTGAAACCACATCAAGAGATGACCAGGCGTGCACACAACCTCTGACAGTAATTATTGATTTTTAGAGATGGCGCACCATTGGTTGAGCCATAGAATGTCTCAGACAGACAATTTCCCCGAATTAACATAATATCCATATTTACAAATACGAGGGGCACTCAAAAAGTATTAAAATATATTGGAATATTTGAACTAATTAAATATTGTAATTATTTAAAGGGAGTGACGATTACAACGTAACAAGAATCTGCGCCTAGTCACAGGCATTCTGACTGGTCATTGCCAAGTACGGAAGCATTTCCATATCATGGTGCTGTCAGAATCAGTACTTTGCAGAGGGTGCGAACAAGAAGATGATACCATCGAGCACATCCTTTACGATTGCTCGAGCTTTCATTTATTAGATTTGTGTTCGGCGAGTATCGGCTAACACCGGTCGTTATAAGAGAAGCACCTCTTGGCGACGTTGTCAACTACATTAAATCTGTAGGTTGGCTCACGAGCTAGGAGGTGCCTATCATCTTAGGAGGATACACAATGGGCCTAATGAGGCATTAGTGCCGTGGAATAATCCACCCTCCACACGTTACCGATACAGAAGCTAGATTCACAGCGATCCACCACACCCCCATTACCCTCCAGATATGTGCCCCTGGCTTCAAGTAGAATCCGTTGGTAGGTCTAAATCGATTTTTATGGACTGTGGATATTGTCGACTTTAGATACTAATAGGTTCAAATAATAATAATAAAAAAAAAAACTTATAAAAATTAATCTGTAACATATGATTTAATAATACTCATTTACAATAATAATTTGTACTCTTTAAAAAAATATACAGTTCTATGTGTATGTAAGGTGATTGATTCATTAAGGGTGGCGACCGGCCATATCTCAGAATCTCTTGAAGTAATTTTTTTTAAATAAATAAAATTAGCTTTCAAATGAAGCGTCACACTTTACCATAGGTAATAATTTTTTATCCCGCTAGAGGGCGCTAAAATTAAAAGGAACGCAATGAACAGTCATACTTGGTAATTTCCCTATTTAAATTGTATTGGTTAGATTGACGTAGGAGAGATGAATGACATATGAAATAAAAATCGACCTGTTTTTGCGTTTTTTTCAAAAAAAAAATTCTACTTCAAGATATTCTGAGATACGGCCGTTCGCCACCCTTAATGAATCACCCTGTCCATGTCACGTCTTTTAGAAAGCATCACTTTGTATCATTTCCAAAACTCCAACTCGTCCAAAACTCATTATGCTACCTAATCGGAGCAATCACCAAATTCAGCTTTAGCTGATCCCTATTCGGTCCTACAAGGAACAACGTCTCATTTGGTTCTTGGGAAGTAGCAGGTCTGTTAAGTTCCTCGAATGGAATCAGATTGTCCAAGTTAACGGTTCTTTCGTGAGCGCTGAAATGATGAACCGTCTCTCTAACTTCCATCACATGTTCAACTCCACCTTGCAATCCATATATGAGTACTGAAATCTTAACGCGCATATTTGATTCGCAAAGTTCTCGACAAGTAAGCGATAGCCTGACGGTTGGTAGTATTTCTTCGGGAACTTCTAAAGTACCTTGCCAAACTATGAGAAAACATTTTTTAAACCAGACACCTTTCGGATACAGATCAACTATCCATTCGTTGATTTTATGCGATTCGTGCTCTGCAGCTGACAAGTAAGAGGAAAAAACGAAAGTACTGGTGTGGTAACTAGGAATGCTGAAGAAATTTTCTATTGTTAACAAAGCGCTACAGCTGTCGGAAGTATATAAACGAGGTGTGAATAATAATTGTCCTTCTCCTGAATTGTAGTAAGGTAAAATCTGATCAATGTACCCAGAATGGTACTTCATACCAATAGCCATTCTATCGACAAAAAATTCTTTATGTTGTTTAATAATTGAAGATAAAAGTAGATCCGCAAGTTCTCGAGGAGTCATCATAGGAAACCTAATAAACCTCATAATTTTTTCTACCAAACACCTGAAATCCTCATCTAGATTTTTAGAAAAAACGTTCTGTTGACACAATTTTATACGTTGTAAATCAAGCCATCGCACTACACAATTATAAAGAACCATTTCATTGTGAACTACGATATCGTTTTGTTCTAAGATCTTAATGAACATATCTACGTCGAAGTTGCTAAAATCCGGCGTGTTTGCTACCGATTCGAAGTTCCATTTGATGTAGTTTTGACAGGTTTCGAATACTTTGGTATGGCAACAAGCCGTGCTGTACTGTAGCCAGGAGAAAAGTTGATTGTGGTGAGCGGCGTGTGGAACATGTTTGCACATGTAAGATAAGCATATCCTTGTTAAACTCTGAAAATTAAAATACATATAATCATTAAATTAGACTTAATATATTGTTGTATCAGATATAATAGGTTCTTTCGTTCGTCTCACTGGTGTAGGAATGAACTGCACCAACGCACACCATACCTTTTGTTTGGTCTGGTGTAAAAACCAATACACCTTCCTGTCGGCGATGTGGTGTCCACTGGTGGATATTTTTTCCACCAGCTATTTAGCAGGAGTGAATTACACACATGAGTGTCAGGAAAAAGGAGGAAGTAAACTAGGTAAATAAAGGTGGTGTAACTGGTGTAATTTACACTGCACCAACAGCTAACGAAAGAACCTAATATAAAGGACATGTTGAATTTTTTTTTTTAACAATTGGGGTCATTTGCACCGCTAGTCGTTAAGAAATAAACGAAGCTTAAAGTGACATTGTTGATGAAAAAAGGTCAGTTTAAACTTGACTTATTTCTTTAGGACAAGCTGTGGAAATGGACATTAGTGAGTTCAGTATTACACCTCAGAGATATGAGCGAGAATGTTGATCATGTAATTTTCGATGAACTTTAGCTTATTAGGCATTCAACCCCCGATCTAATTTTATACAACAAAAATATAGAAAATAATATAAGTGTAAAAACTAATCCGAACATAGGATGTTAACCTTCTGCACTTGTAATCATTATAGAATTGATCACAAATATTGAAGAATTAGAGGAATACAGGATAAATACTAAAAAATGCAACATGGACAGAATAAACCCGAAAATGCTGGAATTTGTAAATGGTCATGAAAGCAACTTGTTAAACGAAGTCGCAATCAGAGAATGTAATGAAAAACTATCGGAAACAATTATTCAGAACTCTCCAAAAGTCAAATACTACAACTCAGAACTACCACCGTTTATAATTAGACTAATCAAACATAAAAGAAAAATATACAGAGAGTACCAGAAATCCCCAAATACTGAAATCAAGCAACAAATTAATGAATATAATAGAAATATAAAAAACCTTATCCAACAATACAAAGAGCACAAATGGGCCACAATAAGCGAAGAAATAAATGAAGAACATGGGAAAAAATACTGGCAAACAATAAAAAAGTTATCCATATATAAGCCAGCTATGAACATACCAGACTTGGAAAAAAATGGCAGTCTACTCGTTCGACAAAAAAAAATGAAATATTTGCTGAACATTTCCAAGAAGCATTTGCTGAAACAAAAAGCCAACAATTCGATGATACACATTATCAATTAGTATAACGATTTCTTTAGTACAACAACGGACAATGAAGAAAAGAAAATCGAGAAAGAAGACTACTTCAAGATAGTACAAAAGGGTAAATCTACAGCACCTGGACATGATACTATAACTAAAGACAAGGTAAGGAAACTAGACTATAATGTACATCTATATATACTAAAAATATATTAATACTGCCTAAATCATCAATACTTTCCCCCTGAATGGAAACATGTGGAAACACAAGAAAGTTGAAAACTACAGACCAATAAGTCTCCTCCTGTAATTGGAAAGAATTTGGAAAACATAATTAAAAATTTAATAATTAAAGAATGTGGGAACAAGATACCGAATTAATTACCTGTAGAAAAAAAGACAACGACCCATCCAATCACAATCCTAACATCAAACATACAAACATCTAACCTATAATAATAGCCTTTATTGCCCAACAGATATAAATCCCTTTACAGAGCAACCTAATAAATTATTAACAATATAAGTAGTAAAGGTGACATGATAAATAAAGAATTATAAAATAAAAAGTATCATATAAAAACTGAAAATAAAAAATCAATAAAATAAAAAATCAATAAAAATAAAAAAAGAATAAAATAAAAAACTCAAGTATTGTCATAATAGTTACAAGCGATTACTTTAATACTTATCAAACTATCTTTGACGATATCCGAAGAATTACAGTACAGGTCAAAGTTATTACACATGACATTGAGAGGTGAGCTTAATAAAATATTTGTTCTAGATCTATTACAGTAAAAAGTTAAGTGGTCCAATATTATACTGTGGAACGTTTAAATGAATTTTAGCCAAGATAGCAGGACAGTCAATTAACCCATTCATGATTTTATGTAAACAAGTCAATGAAGCTAGAATTATCCGAAACGCAAGATTTTCCATGTTAGAACTGTCCAAAAGTAGCTGATAATCAATATCTCTTGGCGGATAGATACCATTTACTTTGAATGATAAGTATTTCAATAACTTCCTTTGAACAGATTCAAAACTAGTTATATGAACATTATAATATAGCTGAACAGAACTCAAGCTTAGTGCGGATGTATGAATAATATAAAGTCTTTATCATTTGTGTACACGTTTTGTTGCTTTGGCGTCCTGGCTTTTACGATATTGATTAAAAGCATAGGTAAGTTTCTATTAATGTTAATTTAGCTACTCCTTTAATAATTGTTGCATTTTACAACAACTACTGTTTTATAGGTACGTACAGTGTGTTAAATGCTTATAGAAACTTCAAAACATAACCTTACTTTTGTTTCTTTTATTTTTATACGTATTTTTTAGGATACCTAGTTATTCCAAGCATACTTATTTTCCTTTTTTTTGGTCAGAAAATAATACAAATTTAACTTCGGAGCTTAGAAAATATTTCACTTGAAATTGAGTTACATTTTGGTTATAGGAATGGTGGTGAACCAAGCGACTTAACCGACCGAACGATTAGGTGTGCCATGCAAGATTAGCTTAAGTTAGCTAAGGCCCGTCTAGGACACAACACATCCAAAGTAAGATTTGTATTTTCATATATATTTTTGTTAGTTATAGAAAAGTTTCGTTTAGTTTGTTATTCAGTATTTTAGTGTTTATTTGTTTGTATTTATTTATTTTTTAGTATTTGATTGTTTTTTTTTCTAATTAAATATTTTTCTGTACATATAACAAGTGATCAAAAAAATTTTCTAAATTTTTAGGCCAATTATAACCAAAATAGAAACACGAGTAATGCATATTTCTGGTGTATACACACCTGCTATGGATAAAATCCAAACTATCATTTAAGAAAAATTAACATTTTCCATGGCCTCTTTTAGAAATTTTGTTTTGATAACTTTATTTAATGTGTGTTTGAAATACATTTAAAACAATATCAGGTAGACGCATTTTACACATTAATAAAAATCATACAAATATATATAATATAGACGTATAGTAAAACAGGATAATTAAAGGTAGATAAAGTAGTAATGTTAGACGTATAAAAAATAAAAAATATATACGTTTATAGGGCGGACATTTTCACATATATATTGGGTATCATATCAACAGTATCCATACGTATATTGTAGTACATAAATAAACGTATTTTATACCAAAGTAAATTCGTATAAATATACTACAACTATAAATCTATTATAGACGTATAGTAAAAACGTTTAATTATAGGTGGATAAATTCTTAGTAATCGACGTTTATAAGGCGGACATTTTCACGAATATATACATCCCACAAAAATTATCGCATCACTAAAATGTTTGCAATGTATGTTTATAAAAACAGGCAGTGCTAAAAAACTGTATTTCTCCTCTAATAACAGAGAGAATAAAACAATCAAAAAAATAAAATTTTGCGAAAAGATGAGGCTAAAGTACGCTATTAATTATAACATGCTATTATTGCTGCTACACTCCACAGGGTGTTACGAATTTTCCAACCAAAACCTATATTATTGTAACACCCGGTATACGCTCAAAAATTTAATTTTATTTAAAGAATCAAAGAGATTACTATTCCTGAAGAATCAACTTATCTTCCAAAAAAAGAATATCCAAATCGATCAAACGGTTCAGAAAAAACTCCATATTTTTGAAAACTATTAGTGATGCGATAATTCTTGTGGGGTGTATATTTGGTAGTACATCCACCGTATTCATACGTATGGTAGTACCTAAAAAAATACGTAATTTATACCAAAGTGTGCTGCCTGGACAGACTAACGATCAAAAGTCTAAAATCCCCGGTTTTACAATATTACAGGATTAAATCCTATCATTTATTATTTAATTCAAATTCTATCCGTTTTTAAAGAAACGGTGTATTTGTCAAGAAATAAATTCAAATGTTTATTAAGGAAATCAAACTAAATCTTTTATCTAAACACTAACTATAAAAAAAAAAGGTAATATTTTACCAAGAAACAATTTCTAATATTTATTAGTTAAATCAAATTAAATCTTTTAACTAAACCCTATTTATAAAAACAAAAGAAACGGTATCATTTGCTAAGAAACAAATTCTATTATTTATTATTTAAATCAAATTAATTATTTTAACTAAACACTATCTATAAAATTATTCCTATTCCTACAAGCTAATTCGGTTTTTAAAATGATATACGGAGTCAATTTCCAACGTAAAAAAGCGGAACAAGGTTTTTTACCTAACGGATTTGTAAATACTCGGAAAAGGGAAAAAAATATCGACGGTGATTTGATTTCTAATGCGGCTTATTAGAGTCAACTGCTGGCAACCAAAAATTATATCGAACTCATAATTTTAATCGCATCTCGGGTCTCGTTTACCCACTGTAGATTCCCTCTCCAAATCGAAAATCCCACTTACGTTCAGACCCACCGCGCATCGAGACTTCGAGTGGCGCTCGCGCATCTGAAAATTAGCTGAGGATCGACAGTTCAACCGCGTTAAAAATTTATTAAAAATGAAAAATAAATTGGTTGAGGAAAATTGACTTCATTACATGTTTCTGAATAAAACGAATTCCAATTAGCCCTCTTCAAATTCCATTTTTTGTTAGTCTGAATAATTATATTTTTAGGAGAGATTGAGATTGAAGTAAGAGTGGGGAGGTGATTCGAACCATATAAGTTATTATATAGGGTTTCTCATTTCAGAAGATGTCTAATTTCTTGAGAGATGATTGTCAAATGAATAGCTGAAAGTATGATCTGTAGATTTCCCAAAAACGTTGGTGATCCATTATTTATAAAACTATTTTGGTCTAAAGCTACTAACAAAATTTTACCATATGTATCAGACGATAGACCTCCCCAAGCTATGTTATGAGAATTTAGATCTCTAATACATGGTCTAGGAATTGATTCAAAGAATGAACACCACTCTTGAAATGAAATTTTAGTTTTCGTTGGTATATATAAGGATACAATTGTAATTTTAATATTTCTACTTTTTAATTAAATTAATTTTTGATTAACATTCGCTAAGTTGTATTTAATGAGAATTTCATCATAAAATATGTTGGATTTAACTAAAATCGCTATTCCTCCTCCAAGACGATCCATACGATTGTCTCGTAAAATATTGTAATTTTGAATTTGTAGATTAACAGGTTTGAATGTTGAGAAAAAGGATGAACTTAGTATTGATATGAAGTTAAGGGAAATTGAGATTAGCATGGCATAAAATAGGGCAAAGTAATGGAGAAAAACACTGGTCATAATAAATAATATTGGTATTAGTGTGTGATGTTCATTTAGGAGCCTAAACATATATACAGGATGTTTCATAAGGAATAGCCAATATTTTAATATTTTCCGGAACTAAAATTATTAAAATTTTGTCCAAGTTATTTACTACTGAGATACAGAGTGTTACAATTATATATTAATGTTTTTTTATTTTAAATAATACTATTTCTTTAATAAGATATATAACGTGTATTCAGCAATAACGATATTCCACTTGATCTGATAAAACAAGAAATTTATTGAAAATAGCCGTACTTACCTTAACAATATATTTATCAGCTAGAGCTAAAATTGGCATAACATTTGTGTGGGTGATCATAATTTTTCCAGTATAAAAATATTCTAGAAACACAGGAAAAACTGGTTCACATATTGCCATTTCCTGCAATTCTACTCTACTTTCATGCCATTCTGACCATTCCGGCCTCATAAGCATAACCTAAAATATTTTAATAGTTATCAAAATGGTTTTAACCATGATGAAAACGTTTTAATAGAATAAATTGCTACCTGAAAGACATCACTAGAAGCACATAAAATAATCTTATGTGCACCATATTCTTTACTGCCGACTAAAAGGAAGACATCACACATTTCTTTTCCAGAATATAATTTTTTTAGGACTTTGAGTATATTGTCGGAATTATCAACCTAAAAGTAAATAAAACAATAAATGGAATGAAGTATGAAGGGACAACATAGAAATAGTATAGAAAGCCGATTCCACATATCAAAAATGAAACCATAAGGAGAAAATAGTGTGTCGGAGCTCATGCGTATAACGGTGCTGGCGCGAACAGGACCGGTGCAAGTTTTTTATTGATCGAACAAATAGTTCGCACGATATTTCAATCATACATTTTTAGAGATGATTATATACAAAAAACGATTAAAAAAATTTCAAGTTAAGGTAAATATGGTTCTGACAGTCCTTATTAAGAAAGATATGGCATAAAATATGAATTAGTTAATTTTCGGCAATCATTAGTACAGTAGTCCTGAGATTTTGCTTGTGATTTTAAAAATACTTTCCAGAAAAACCACGTGCTCCGGTTTTGACTACGTTTATTATTAAACAGCGAAATTATATACAAAAACTTTAATCCACAATCTAAATTAGGTACTATCACAAGAAAATTACTGTTACAATAATTAATTACTTAACCAAAAAGTAAAATACTTTTTAGGTACCTACGTAACCAGAAAGGAGCTGGACCATTTATCCTAATATTGATTTTCTCTCTCCCTACGGTAAAACTTAAAACAATAACAAATTGCCTATCTACTAGGGTCGGTAACTAAACGTATATACATAATGGGCGGATTTTGTTTATACTTAACATTACACTCGCGCATTTAAATATAACTATGCATATAAATATTTACAAACAAAGATACTTTTCCAAACAGGCAATCATTAGTACTGTAGTCACGAGATTTTGCTTGTGATTTGACATCTTATTTGATAATATCATTTGCTACAACTAAATTTAATCTGGGGAGTGTAAAATAGGACCCAGGAATATTATGTTCGATATTTTTTTACATTTTGTCAGCCGAGACTATGAGTCGTTAGACAGAAAACCTTTCATGTTACCATTTTCAATATAAATTAAAAAATTAAAAAATACTACTACATTTACTTGGTACATATTTTATTTTAATTTTGAACCTTTTTAAAAGGGTCTTTCGGTTCCATAATAAAAATTAGTTGCTGCTTACTAGAAACATTCTATATAGCCTAAACCAATTTATAGTTTGTTTTCGATCAATTTAATACAAAGATTTAAAGTTTTTAGTCGATGATAACATTCCACACCAGCACATTGCAAACCTATTTTATAAATAATAGGAATAAACTTGTAAATCATTAATTTGGTAGTTATCTCACTCATATGATTTTTTTGTTTATATGACTATTTCGATTTCTAAATATATTTTGGCCTTACAATACGAAGCGTTTTGTATCTACCACTTTTTTAATGAACGATGAATGTTGGCAGGCGTGTACCTTTTTCGGAACAAGAGGCGTTTTAACGAAGGAAATGATTTTCGAACTATCTAGTTAGTTTTCGGAAAAATAGAAAACGTTTGAAGAAAGTTGTCAATAACAGTTTGTCGTTCATGTGTTTCATTTTGATCAGCTTTCATACTAAATTGCGTAGAATATTTTTCCGATTCAAAATCGAGATTCTCGATATTTCCACAGTTTATTTATAATACCTTCTAAACTGGATTTATCTATCATTTTATATACTTTATAATATATGTTCATGCCCTACTTTTCACTTTATTAACAATTTTTTTTTAACATACTTCAAAATGGTAGGATATTCTCAATTCGTTGAAATATTTTTTTATGTATGTTGAGCGATAATTCTTTACCACGTTGCCCGATTTCTAGGATTATTTTTGTTAGAAAAGGAAACAGTTTTATATACATTAAGTCAAGATCTGAAGAAGGGATCCATAAGAAAATCATTAACATCTTTATTTTTAAAGTAGGTTTTTTTTTTAATTTCTTTAAACTGGTTCGAACGCGGTAAGGAATGAAGAAATGTAAATAATTGTTGTGCCAGCCAAAAAGCGAAGAGGAAGTACCGATTAAAATATCGAGTGACAGAAGAGTTCCTAAGATTGTTGAGATCGGGTTTATGTTTTAAAATGCCTTAAAACCGATATCGATAATGTCTCCCCGTCGCTGGGTAGCCTGTATATAAATATACAGCTCTCTATTTAAATAATTATAATTCTTAGGTAGGTTTAGATTTGCAGACATAAATCTTGTAATAAATATAACAGCTGCCTAATACATTGATTACATTTTCATTAGCCAATGTAAAAATGTCTTTTATTGTACCTAGGATTTGACTAAACACTACACAAAACTAAAAATAAAATGCCACTTTCATCGTGTAATTAATGCCGCGTTTGAGAATCCACATCGGATGCATTTTTTACATCTCGAACGTTTTTTATCCACATCGGACACATCTGTCCCATTACATTTACGTATACTGAATCACGTGATCAAAGATTTACTACTTACTACATCTCAGATGCATCCGATGTGGATTCTCAAACGCGGCATAAATAATAAACTACAAACGGTCCTGTAAGGGCAGCGTCATATAGCCTTGAAACACCGGATTTTAGTGCTATTGCCAGGTCAATATTGAATTTGTAGGTGAATCGCTTATTGAACATTAAAAATACGGTATTAATGAAATTAATACGGTATTTGTATATATTTTTGGGAATGTAATTACACATAAATATTATTAGTTGATTATTTAAATGTGTATAAGTTATTTTGTGGCGATATTTCGTAGATATAAACTGTTTAAATCATATAATTTAAAAATTATTTATTTAAAATTCTTTTCTGTTAGGTATGTTTAATATATTGGCAACACTATAGGGACAAGTCATGCATATTGCGCAAGCTTCTAGACACACTATTTTGCGATGTCAGGCGCAGAGACGCGTTCTTATGCACAGTAGGTTTCAATTTCTGCTTAAATGTTATGTTTATATTGGTCTTCTATATTATTTCTATGAGGGACAATAGGAATGGCACACAGAATAACTGAAGATTCTCTGATTAAATAGATGGTGTTAAAGTTGAAAATTGAAAAATTATTATACCGGGTTACTTTGCCAGCAGGGGCAACTTTGCTTAAAAAACTAAAAAAATATTTTCTGTAAATCTGGCAACGCTGCTCTAATGCAATTGGCGGCAAAATACTACGCGATCAATAGGTTTTATCTGACAGACGATCCTGGATCGTCAAAATGTATTTTTAGAAAAGTGATTAAATACCCTAAACGCATTATGAACTCAACAAAGTCCTCAATATCCGTCATGTTTGCGGCCGCTGCAGATGGAACTTTGTTTGCCTCATATATTGTGCATAAAGCGGAGAGATTATTTGATTCCTGGTGTATCGGGGGACCCCCTGGAACTCGTTATAATAGAACCAAATTTTAATAAAATCAAATTTTTTAATACAAATAAATAATTATTATATCCCACTGTCCATGAAAGCAAAATTCCTAGGAGTTCTTATAGATGCCTTATGAGCTGAAGTTGCCATAATAATGACCCTGTTTGCAAAAAATTAAATAGTGTGTACTATGCAATTCTCCAATTAAAAAATATGTTGAACACCAAACAGCTTCTTCAAGTTTACTATGTGACGGCTTGTTTACATTTAGCTTACAACATACTGCTTTGGGGAAATGCGATCGGTACGTTAGGAGTATTTGGTTGTCAAAAAAGACTAATAAGATTAATTTTTAACCTAAATGCTAGAAGTACCTGTAGAGATCTTTTCAAAAGATATAATATATTGACTTTTCCAGCAATATATATTCTCAAATTTGCTATATACGTTAAAACAAACATCTCCAAATTTACCCGTAACTCAGACAACCATAATAATTGGGCACAAATTAAATGATCATTATTTAAATTTTATGGCAAGTACATTTTTCCAGTATTTTATTTCAGTTGGTCAGTATGATAATAAATGGTCGGGGAAAATAATAAATGGCCAGTATAATATTAAATGGTCGATGAAAATAATAAATGGTCAGTATAAAAATAAATGGTCAGTATAAAAATAAATGGTCAGTAAAAATAATAAATGGTCAGTATAAAAATAAATGGTCAGTAAAAATAATAAATGGTTAGTAAAAATAATAAATGGTCAGTAAAAATAATAAATGGTCAGTAAAAATAATAAATGGTCAGTAAAAATAATAAATGGTCAGTAAAAATAATAAATGGTCAATAAAAATAATAAATGGTTAGTAAAAATAATAAATGGTCGGTGAAAATAATAAATGGTCAGTATAATATTAAATGGGAATGCCTTCAGACGAAATGCTTCCAAAGTATAGCTTTCAAAAGCAATATAAAGTAAGTATACCAGACAGGGAAGCGTGGACGGGAGGACCTCCTATTCATGCAGATCTCACCTGGCTCCAAAACCCATGAAGGTTCAGGAGTAGGTATATATAGTACCAAGCCAAAGACAGGAATCTCACTGAGCTTAGGTAAACATGCGACAGTATTCCAGGCAGAAATAGCAGCAATACATCACTGCGCAAAAGAAGTATTAAGACAGAAGGTAAATGGAAAAACCATTGTCATATACTCAGACAGTCAAGCGACGTTAAAAGCACTCAGTTCCATGCAGGTACACTCAAAGCTTGTGTGGGACTGTTTGGAAGCCCTAACAGAGCTGGGTAGTCAAAACAGACTAACCTTAGCGTGGGTACCAGGCCACAGGGGACACAAAGGCAATGAAGAGGCTGATTTACTAGCCCAAGAAGGAGCATCAAATGCTCTTATAGGCCCAGAACCCTTCTGTGGTGTAACAAAAACAACTATCAGAACATGCACAAAGCAGTGGATGTTTAAAAAATCTCAGGAGTGGTGGGAAAACTCACCAGGACAGAGACAGGCCAAAAAGTTCTTAAAAGGACCATCGTCTAAACTCACCGAGCATCTACTAAGCCTTAATAGGAAAAATACTAGAATACTAGTAGGTCTATTAACAGGGCATTGTAGGCTTAACAAACATATGTTCAATATCGGTCTGACAGAAGAGGCCTTGTGCCGATTCTGTCAAGAAGAAGAGGAAACGGTAGAACACGTATTGTGCTACTGCGAAGGTCTAGTAAGACTGAGATTCCTTACACTTGGAGAAGAAAAACCAAGGGCAACTAGCTATACCGGAGAACTACTTTCCAGTCTATGGAGTTTACTACAAAAGACCGCATTAGACAAGGTACTCTAAACAATGATTAAAGGATATCCACAATAGATCTGAAAAGGTCGAGGTGGGGGAGGCCACATGGCCCATAGTCCTAATTAAATCTAATCTAATCTAATCTAATAATATTAAATGGTGGGTGAAAATAATAAATGATCAGTATAATAATACGCGTTTTATTTGTACATCGGTCTCCTTTTGACAGAGTAGGTGAGCTGTGTCCAGGCCGTTGGTGTTTATGCCGGTCGGCGTAGCCAGGTATGGATTGAAATTTTTTGGTGGCGGCTTCGCCGCCACCCTACGAGAAGTATTTGCTTCGTCTTTTTGTTGTCACGGCATTAATATTATTTGTTCATGTATGTGAAATTTGCTTCTATGGTTTAAAAAATACTACTGCTAGTAAATGAAAACAAACAAGACGCATTCACACAAACCCACCCACCACCTCAATTACAAATCATCAGTGTTGTCCCTGATACGCGAGTGTATTTTGGGGCAATTGATTTTTGAAATATATCCTGACAGGCAGACTTAATTGTTTTAAACAAAAAACAAAATCTTCAGTTTCTTCTTTGCTGCAAACCGGTAGCCCAAAATCATGAAACACTAGATCTAAAAACATAATACTACTTATTTAATGCACATTTTCAAAATTATTACTGACTGCTGCATACTGGCCATTTATTAATTCTTACTGACCATTTGTAGAATTATTACCGGCTAATTCATACTGACATTTCATTAATTTTTACTGACCATTATAATCACAAAAGTGAACATAGAAATACAGGCCAAATAGTAATTTTACTGCTACAAAATTTAATGTTTACTCATCATATTTTATAAAAGTACTGAGTTTTTTACAATATTTTACTGACTGTTTGTAATATTATACTGTAACATAATGAATTAAATACTGTTCAGTTAATTACAACCCATAATAATTATAGTACTCGTAGTGGCAATTTACTACGCATACCCTTTCATGTTTCAACCATGTTCAAAAAAAGTTCATACTACTGTGGAAAAAGGTTATTCAATCATCTATCTACCTCTCTAAAACAAATTAATAGTCTGAGCTCATTTAAATGCAAATTAAAAAGCTATTTGTCCCAAAAATTTTATTCCCAGTATAAATCTTCCCAAACTATTAAATTCATGACAGGAGTATCTCCAGGTGGTCTCATTACTTTTGTCAGTGAACCATTTGGAGTAATATACCTTGATTAGTTTATTATTAATATTATTATAAGTTTTTAATGTAAATTGTCAAATTATTTAAATATTTGTGTAATTTTTAAAATTGTTATAGACATGATGTAAATTTTCCCATATTTATTTTAACTTGGATACCTATATTTGTATTTATACATTTTGTACCTAATTAATTAGTTTGAGACTAAATAAAATGATTTACCTATATTATCGGCTACTGAAAACCTTCTAATACAATTTGCTAGCGTCAAAGCAAAAACTACAGCATTAGTGCAAGCAGGAAACTAAAATTACGTTGGTAATAAACAGCACCTGGCTTCGTGGGGATAATATTTAGTGTATGATATATGTATATGACTGTAGTAACTGTCTATGTGTATATTATGCTGCCTATCTGCACTCCTTGCTGTGAATTGCAAACAGGCATACAACAACAGACATCTCAACAATCCCCACGCAGCCGGGCCCTTGGCAATATTGATATTATTCCTTTCCTTCTTGCCCTAATGCAAAGTCTCTATAGTTTTTGCTTCGCCACTAGCAAACTGTATTGGAAGGATTTCAATAGCTGATACTGTATTTATTTTTGTATCTTTTTCATTGTTATTAATTCAGTAATCATTATTTCCCTTCAGTTCCACTAATAAAGGTGACAGAATAAGGCAAATGCTCAGTGAGAAAAATAGTAAAATTTTTAGATGGCACATCTATTTAATAACATAAAATGTATACTAACCATAATTTGGCATGATTCGTTAGGACCATCATTGTCTCCGGAGCCCGCTTCGTATGATGAACCTCTTTTGCGATTTTTGGAAGGAGACGGTTCAGTACTTTCTTCTCTAACACCGGAATAAGACATGATTCCTTTTTATGACAGTCATAAAAACTTGAAAAAAATATATATTATACGTTTATTGATTATTCAGCACAATGTTTTCTTTTATTAAGTACAAACATAAGCACAACTAATTTTTTAGAAATGAAATGTTTCAAATTTAACCTCAATGTTTGTTGATGTGATGATTTTTGACAAGTGCTGACAATGACAAATCACAGACAACACTAGGCGAGTTCGGTCAGTCAGGGGCTGGAGCGGGACAAATTTTTAAATGACATTTAAGCGTGTTAAACTGTCACTAATCGGACTAAACCTAACGCTAAAAGGGTCGTTTGGAGTTAAAAGTGTTAAAGGAGTTAAAGGAACTTGGCAGACCGAACGCAATGACTGGATTGTATTAAGATAGAGGTGGACACTGAAATTTAAAATGTAACCGATTGAAAACTTAACCAGTTACTAAATACTTGGAGGTTCTATAAATAATAATAAACTAGTTTTTATTTTATATTAGGTAAATTTGAACTAGTTATTGAATTAAAAACTGCTCAACTGAATTTTCTCATTTAAAAAGCAGTTTAGTAGTTATACAAAAATGTTTCTAAAGTATAGGAAAACTCCTTTCTAAGTGTCAGTTTGGATTTAATTCAGAGCCGTGCGTAGTTATCATGGACATGACTTGTGTATCTGTCTTTGTCGGTAATGGCCTTCTTTAGAAACATTTTTTGTGGACCAATCTCTTATAGTCCAGGAATTTTACTTAGGACTGATTCCATCGTTGTATTAAACCAAGTTTAAAATGACATTTTTACATTAACAATGTCATTTTAATCTCCGTTTGACACAACGGTGGAATCAGCCCTTATATAGATTATTTTGGACTAATTAATAACCCCATTTCCCATGTGGGTAACATAAATAACTCGCATGTGAGATAAACACCTATTTTAAATGATAAAAATTTAAGAATTTTAGCTAATATCAATATGTAGTCTTGATGATGACGATATCCCAGACAACACACCAAATCCCAGAGATATCCACAGAATATCTTTTGTGGATATCCAATATATCCACAGGATATCAGAAATATTCCGTGGATCTAATATGAATATCCAAATGTCCGTCTATATCCAGAATATAGAAGATATCATATGGATATCCAGCAAAATGTCTAATGAAATCCCAGATATATCCACAGAATATATTCTGTGGATATCCAATATATCCAATATGGATATCCAACCAAATGTCCGTCTATATCCCAGAATATAGAAGAATTCGGATATTCAGCAAAATATTTTATAGGTATCTTTAGTAGAGGTTCATAAGTAACCAATGATTATTGAATAAAGTCGAAAGAAAATAGCAGAGATAAAAAATATTTTCAACACTCAAAATATTTTCAACACTCTGCCTTTGATTTTGCCCACTAAGGAGAAAGTTATCCTTATTAGGACTCTTCAGCAATAAATGGAAATTCTCGACTCCAGTCTCTAATGGAGTCTGATTGTGAAAAAATTTTCGATCGAACTCAATTACAGCGGGTTGAGCATGAGTAGATGCGAAAGTAGTATCGCCATCTATACTTAGTAAGCAAAATCAAAAATTACATCTAGTGGATATCCACGATGGTTTGCTTTCGCGCGTAGACTTTGATATATTTAGTGGATGTCCATGGGATATTGAATACACCTTAAAAAAATTAATTTTAAATATCTGAACGGTACTATTAGCCACAATGGCGAGCACAATGGCGTAATTTTTTAATAATTTGCTATATAATTACTATTATTTATGGACATTTGCATGTCTATAAATTACAGCTCATGGATATAAAATAGATATCCACCATGGACTGGACATTCAGTGGATATTGGGATGTTCAGTAGATATCCAAAGGATTTGGTGTGCTGTCTGGGTTTGTCTTTTGACTTAGTTTTTTTTTGCTTATATTTAGTAGAGGTTCAGGTTTTGGAGAATTTAAAAAGTTTATTTTATCCTCACTTCCCCATCTACAGAATGGCATCTATTATTCAGTATATTATAACGTAGCTATAAAAATATAAAATTTATTTAAAAATTAAGTCATAAATTTAATTTCTATATAATAAAAAAAATCTGATGTGTCCAACACATGACTTTTCTATCTAGTTATTATTGGCTTTTTCTGGTTATTTTGTACAACCTATTGCAGCATCTCTATAAATGTTTAGAGGATTAACTAAATATATACATTGTCCACATACATCTACCTCGAAACATTTTTCTATAGATATTCATTGAAAACGAAAATACTGAAAAATTTAAATTTAGCACTTTTCTATTACGGTCCATTTTAGAAAAATCATGTATAAACAAAAATTATAGAGATCGATATTGCAAACAACTTTTAGTTCAACAATTTTCATAAAAATCAGAATTTTGCACATTTTGTCAAATTTCTCGAATACGGACCATTTCAGAAAATTTTGACAAAAAACAAAAATTATAGACATTAATATTAGAAGTAACTTTTATTTGAACAATTTTCTTCTCCAAACATAAATAACAGATATATTCCATAAAATATAAAAACGGCCTCCCATGAAGTACCCCCCTAGATGTTCCGACTTTGTCCAAAATCTAATAATTTCATGTCAGGCCGAAATAAACCTTAAGTTTAAAATTTAATGTTTTTTTCTTCATCCGTTTTTGAGTTTTCTTCAAAATTCGAAATTTACACATTTTCTCAAATATCTCGAATACGGACCATTTTAGAGAAATTATGTATAGGATAAAAATTATAGAGAATTATATTACAAACAACTTTTATTTGAACAATTTTTATAAAAAATTATTTTTTTTACATTTTGTCAAATTTCTCGAATACGGACCATTTTAGGATAATTAACCCTTCTTCAGTTTTGCGTCGAGTGTGTTTGAACCTAGTAATGCTCAATGTTTGTTATCTTAAAATATTTATTTTATTTTTACCTTGCAGTATTAGATATTGTTTTTTTATAATGTATTGAATATTTCATATATTTTCCTCTGTTTAACTAAATTTAAATATTATTTCATATACTTTCCTGTGTTTAACTCAAATTGAATATTATTTTATATATTTTTCTGTGTTTAACTAAATCGTCAAGTAATTAACTTTGGGGTTTTCTTGCTGGTTCTTTCCCCTCATTTGATAAATTAATTATTATTTTTTTATTGCACCGAACCAGACCTATATTTAATCTTTATAAATATATTTTATATACTTATAAATTTTTACTTTCTGATTCTGTCATCTATAATATTTTCAATAAAGATTAGATATAAATCAATAGATGTTTTCTTTTAACCTTTACCACTCCCTCAATAACATGTAAGTAGCAAATAGATAACGAATCTTTCAGTCTGTCACTCGTGGTGTCCCAGTCACTTCATAGTCGATCACGCCGTCACTTTATTTATCATACTTTTATAAAAGAGAGAGATATATATTAGTTAAGTTGTCTCTCTTTATTTCAGTTGGTTACACTACACATCATCGCGAAAATAGTGAAAACGGATTCAGGGGACCTCAAAACGTAAAAATCCGTCGAAAACTTGAGGTCGAAAAAATCATGATTCCTATACTTTCTTAATATCTGTATACAGATAGGAAAGTAAAAATAATTTTCTATATATTATATACTAAATTAAGAAATGCATTTTTAGGATAAAACATTTAAAAAACATTCGAAATTTCTTAACCATATACAAAACAAGTAATTAGTTCCAAATTTATAAATTGGAGAGAATAATTTTCCATTTTCCCGATAGTTTTTACTTCAAAACCTCTTCTATTTCATACTCTCCTGTCCCTCAAAGTTCCGATCTGGAAAGCGTCGGCGCCTATCCAGACTGTCCCTTCCTAGAACTTCCTGCAATTTAGGGTCTTTTAGGAACCAGGAAGCTAATGTCCATTATAGGATAATCCCTAATCCTTATCAATGTCCTTTCCAAAGGACTTGCGGATATTCCTTATGTTTCGCACCGCAGCAGCGTCTCGATGATAGTGGGGATTTTCAGCAGGATAACATGAAAACGTTGGGATGTGTTACACTATTAGGGGTAGTTTGTTTCCGTCCAGCACAGATCGATATACATAAAAAGGTACAGGGTGTACTTGTGAAGACAACTTTTTAGCGGATATTTTGAATTGTTTTTATACATTTATAACAATTTTTTGTAAACAATTTTGTCGTATTGTCTACTTGTAAATAATTATTTAAAATCCGCACCATCAAAATATATGCTACAAATATTTTTTCCTTATAATATTAATGTAAATTAGATATTATTGCGAATATTTTTTATTTTAAAAAAGTCCATATGCGAACTTTTTTATAGATATAATTAAATTATCAATATATTTTTCGTACGACCATTTAGAAAATGAATATACTTTCCCCATCAGTTGTCAAATACGCATCATTTTCTATTTTGATCTCTGTAATATCCATATTAATAGTAAAATTCCAGTATAAGTATTGTGACGCGAAGCCAACCCTGTGTAAACGCGACCTTGGAAGTCTGCCACTCGATTCATGATCGAAGAACGCTGATGTGTGAAGTCGGACCGCGTCTCGAATATACCAGAAACGACGGATTCTTCTAGGTATGCCGCTGGCGCTTTAAGAAACTGCCGTTGAGTCATAGAGATGGAATTTTGGGGAGCGTCTAGAAACTACGAGCACAGAATTGGCTTGATATAAATAGCCGACTCATCGTCTGGCAGTTTTAGTTGAATATAGAGCATTGTAATGAAAAGTTAAAGTGTAATAATTAAATTAGAATTGTTAGTTAGTCTCTAAGTATTATATAAATTAAATAGTACATCATAAATAAATTGTAAATAGTGTGTTTTAAATAAATAAATAAATAAATAGATTTTGTAATACAGTCACAGCTTAAAGGTGGATTTATAATTTACGGTCAGTTCGCGTTCAGTTCACGCTCAGTTCGAGTTCAACATAAACAAAGCAGAATGACACGGTAAGTATGTT